ATGCTCACAAGCATTGGTTATGTTTTCCTTCTGTTTCGCCTCTCAATTTAGTATTGTAAATGTAACGCTCGCAAGCATTGGTTATGTTTTCCTTCTGTTTCGCCTCTCAATTAAGCTATTGATCAGAGAGTTCTACAATGACCTTGGTCGACTTTGTCAAATAAGATAATACAATAATTAACACATGATGTATAAGACGATACAATCTTTATATCCCTATCTACCTGCTGACTAAAACTGTTCTACAATATTGAAGAGTGGCTTTAGGCAAAGAAGGGTACTGATGTTAGCATTTCTTTCTCCTGATTTATCCTTTCCAAACAACCTACTTACCAGTTCATCAACTAGTGAACCTACGAACAGAATTAGGTTTCTTCGTTATCTATGTTTAACTCTGGAATAGTATTTCCTATCTGCTTGATCAATTCCTGGACAGCTTGCTTGCTTGATCCCCACATACTATTCTACAGTCTAAATACATACCTTTCTATCTGCATTATTACATTCTCTTATTTCCAAATCATTCTGTTCTGTGTATTATCGTATATCACCTCGCACTCATTAGGCACAGTAATATAAATGATCAATAATTTATATTATTCCTGTTATCTTTTACTTACAGTGCATCTATCAAACAAAATGTGGTTAATTGCTTCCTTATCTCGATCTTGATTACTTACTTTGACACTAATCAACTTGCATTATATATGGACAGGCGTGCTTAAGACAGAGGTAGAAAAGGATTTTATTCCGTCCCTCCCGTTATCCTCCTCCCCCCACTTAAGTGAAAATGATTAACAAACTCCAGGAACCACAGTAGGCCAGTTCAATCATGAAAAATAAATTTTTAAACAGTTTCATACATGCTTTTTGAACAAGATGGTACTTTTTAGATGGAGAAGATAATTAATGCAAGTCAAACTGTATTTGCCTACTTTTATTCGTTCTTTTCTCCGTTTTACATTCCGTTCGGATTCACTCGCTTCCTTGTGAAAAAGCTTCTTTGCACATACAACACGATCGATCGTTTTGGTGGAATTTGAATGTTTTCAAATTAATCACTTTTGTCTTTGTTTTTATTTTAATTTTCTTTAAGTTTTGTTGAATTTCGAATAATATCAGATCAATCTCCCGTTTCAGGGTTTAGCTTATATACAATAACAAATGAGTCATACACATGGATAACTGAAAGCAAACTGAAGCATACTGGATACAAGAACTTGAAGTTATAAAGATGTTTCCAGGAGATGCTACACTCAGTTCATTGAATGGTAGTACTTTCTATCTATCTATCTATCTATCTATCTATCTATCTATCTATCTATCTATCTATCTATCTATCTATCTATCTATCTATCTATCTATCTATCTATCTATCTATCTATCTATCTATCTGCCTGTCTGTCGGTCCGTATATCCGTTCATTCGTCCATCCATCCATCCTTATTTCTTTTTTCTTTCTTTCTTTCTTTCTTTCTTTCTTTTTTTCTTTCTTTCTTTCTTTCTTTCTTTCTTTCTTTCTTTCTTTCTTTCTTTCTTTCCTTCTTTCCTTCTTTCTTTCTTTCTCTATTTCTTTCTTTCTTTCTTTCTTTCTTTCTTTCTTTCTTTCTTTCTTTCTTTCTTTCTTTCTTTCTTTCTTTCTTTCTTTCTTTGTCAGACACACACACACAGACTCACAAATTAAAGGAGTCGGTACTAATAGCAGCGTTAGTAATTTCATCCTTTTGATTCAGTATAGCTCAGTACCTCTGATCTTTACGTCAACTAAAAATTATATGTTCTATATTTCTTTTTAATGTCCATATCTGAATTGCATTAAATCGCACATCGGCTCATATAATGCGGTCAAGATTTGAGAAATGGCTTAAATATTTTCCTGCAAAAGCATGATAGGCCGATCGCTCAAAACTTATGTAAAATATGCTTGACACAAAGAATCAGTAGTTGAATGCTAGAGAAATGGGCCGAGCTGGAAAATTTGATATCACGTTGGGATAATCGAGTTAAAATGGTATAAATTCAACGTGAACTCAAATAATAAAAATCAATCAATGGGGCAATAAACATTTTTTTATGCACAAATGAAATGCCGCATTCACTTGCCTAGTATTAAAATAAAATATTAAAATTCACAATTGAGGTCGAAAGGTCAATGTTTTTTTTAAAAAATATATTACAGCAAAAATCCTAAGAATATTCTTCACTTGACCAGAAAAGTCAATGGTAGTTCATAGCAAAATATGTTTATTCGCCCCAGCCCCGTCTTTATAGCTGCATTTTGTTACGTACGACGCAGTGTAGTGCATAATGTACAAACACAAGTCTTTTTCTAGGTGACAAGTCTGCAAAACATTGTCTACTAAAACGGTTATAATTCATATTAGTTGCAATGCAAGCCGTCATTGAGACATTCTGGTTGCTAGCTTCATAGTTGACTATATGTATTTCATTGTCTACATACATACTGTAGAGTAATTACGTGAGGTGTACATGCCTCACATCAATTTCAACGTCAACACAAAAAGCAAATAATTCACATAATTAACAAATATATCCACATCATTCGTTATCAAATATTAATAGCTGATCAATTCAAACCATAGCCTTAAGTTAAGAAACTAGACAGTAGTCAATTTACGAAACAATCCCGTGCCACCTACATTAAACGAGATGAAGCAGAAGACAAATGGAGTACTTGAAATGGTGCTTGACTAATCAAGATAGAGAAAGAGTAAATTTGAGCTAATGGGAGAACTTGAGAAAGGTTGAGATTGCTAGCTAGGGTAAGTTAATTGAATAATCAAGAGTCATTGGGAATAATAAAGGAAAATCAAGCTGGAATAATAAAAATAGAATAGGTGTGAGATCTGAAGAAAGAAGTAATTGTATAGACTTACAACTCGAGTAAATAAAAATAAGTAATTGACGCAAGCGTTCTTGCGAGAAGATCGTTTGGGTTGATCTCATTTCCTTCCTCCGTTAGCATAGGATTCCCCTTCTCAGCTACATGAATGGATGGAGTGCGACTTTATTAACACAAAGTCTTGCTCACGATAAACGAAAATGGCACCACTAACACATCCGGTTTGTCCGCTACATCAGACCTATTGCAAATATTGTTATCGCTTCTCGTTCTCAATGCATGTTCATATCAACATGGAGTTTCCACTGAAAGACTTCGTATGATTTCAAGTTGACTCTAAATAAAATGCTCGGATATTCAATATAACGGTCATGGCTGACATCTTGAACAGGTTTTTATTGCTAATCATCCTTTACAAATAACATTGAGCTTTAAATGTGATAAGAAAGATAAATGATATTCAAGATGCTTTTAGAGACAAATTTCAAAGAGTGAAAATATGGAAAGGTACAAGAACTACACGTTAAGACTATAGTTTGGATATAGTTCAAACAAACTGAAAATATGTTGACGTTTTAACATGTTCCTTCTGGAAGGAAGGAAAATGAAAAGTAGATTACAATATTAGCAAATCTATTTGTTATTTGACAACAGATAAATTTTACACGTGAAAATTAGAACCTGTAAAGCAGTTGGAATTTCAAAATACAATCTTTAAAATGCAAGAAATCTTTACCTACGACTACCTTTCCAATTGTTACAGGGAAAGATGAAAATATGGCAAGTTATGTTAGAATATCTAGTCGTTTACGAACAGTGAGAGTGAAAGTGAGTTTATAACGGACGATTAGTATATGAAAAACAAGATGAAATCTTAAAGAACAAGTAAATGCAAAATTTATGCATGCTAAAGACATGTACTTTTTAATGAAAATAATATTATGAATTGCATAAGATAAAGGGACTGTTTTAAATATTTTACAGTTAAATAAATGAAGTGACAACAGTACACAGCTCCTCCAGAGACGATAAAACAAAAAACAAATGCCACTCTTAGAAGACTTAACAATTTACATATACAACTGTATGAAATACCATAAAACGGAGGTTTTGAGATATACCGATAGTGTGACAGAAGTAGAAAAAATTAATGTAGAATGTAAAAGATATGTGATATATACATTTTTGTTAACTGCAAAGCCACATGGAATAAAGTACTTTCATAAGCATCACCTGTACGCAACAAACACAGGAACACAATATAGCAAGTCTTAGAGCAACTACTATGCAGAATATGTACTGTCAGGGTAATGACAGATATCACTGAATAACTGCAAGTAGACAGGATTGCATAAAAATAAGTTTGTTGAAATTAAATTGCTTAAAGCTCATAATGATAAAGAACCCAAACGATATATCGTTAGCAAATGCTTTAACTAAATTCTTCTGTAATGTGTTCAAGAGAATCATTCTTTCCGGCTTGAGGGACATTTTCTCTTAGTTTTTTTATCTTATGTTTTGTATGCCACTCTTTCTACAGCTTGGGATATTGCATCCAAATTTGTATTTATCATCTCCACTCTTGTATTATATTGCACCATTATCAACAACTGACTAATTTAAGTCTGTGTAGGTCTTTATATCTTTATATTTTTTCTTTACTTCCATGCAAATTCACTGATAAATCTTCAGGAATAATTTTTCTTTCTAGTATATAATTTTCCACGAGCTAGCGACTTTACCGAGACAAACATTGTTACAAGAGCACTTACTATCATACTATATGTGTATGCTGCGCATTCTTGAAGTAAACATATTGTATTAATTTATCTTGTGATATAGTATTTTTCAATTTTAGTAGCAGACAATATATTGATTCTTTGTGTATGTTTCTAAAATTTTGAATTGGGTCATAATTTATTAAAGTTATTTTATGAGAAAAATTTGTAGTGGAGTTGGTCCTTGCTCTTTGATAAAAAAAAACACGTGTTCCAAATGCCATTAAAAAGAATGAAACATTATGAAGAGTTAACAGTCATATACGTAATATTTCTTACATTTTCCAAGGGTAGAAAAGTATTGTAAGATCCCAAAAATCGTTTTCTCAAATGGAATTATCATACACCTACTAAGGGACTGCTCTTGTGGCATAGTGGTTATAGCATTAACCTCGGATGCGGGAGGTCGTGGGTTCGAGTCCAAGCCGAGTCATACCAAAGACTTGCAAAAATGGTACTAACAGATGCTTCTTTTGGCGCTCATCATTAAGAGGTTAGTATTAGGGTTGGTCAGTCTGGTGTCAGGATAATATGACTGGGTGGGACATCATGCAATATATCTGCGGCATGATGCCACAGTGATGGAGATCACTATAGACGGATACACTGCATGAATAGTAGTGATATAACTAAAATATTGTTAAAGCTACGTTACAAAATTTAAATTACACATACACCTAAGAGGGCTACCTCGACCTACTACCCTTTTTACAATGTTATGATGTGTGTGTAGTTACTTTCTATTGTTACTAGTTTCTCTTTTATTCATCCTGATGTTCGTCATGTAAAACTTCCAGTCATTTTAAAGGACAGTGTTAGCTTGGTATTTTAAAAGTATTAGCTTTAAGTTATATTTTAGTGTTACGTTGATTTGTTAACAACATGACTGACGAACGCTTTTAAGCAATTTTTTTTCTATGCAATGTCTTAGTAGTTACCTTGTCAACAGTACTGGTCTTTTTCAGCCATTAAAGCGAAAAACAATATTTAAAGTATATGTTGTACCTCACAAATTGTCTTTAAATTTATTCAAGAAGCAAACATGGAAAAGTATCCTTTTATGTTCAACATTTTGCAACGTTTCTCTTAACTCTTACAAAAGTATAAATGAATTTAGATTTATGTAAAATTTAGCCATTAAGGTTGACTCTTCTAAAGCTCCAGCATGTGAAAAGTCGACTTGTGCTTTATCTTAATATTGCCCTGCAAATTTAGCAATAAATAGGTATATTTATTTACCAACATCAAATATGTTATTCATTCCACATTCACACACACACATGCACATACACATACACACACACACACATGTATATATATATATATATATATATATATATATATATATATATATATATATATATATATATATATATATATATATATATATATTCATGTAATGCTATGTTTATTTAATCTTTATTGTGAGTTTAAACTTTTGTACATGATTGTAAGTTATTTACATAGCTTACTTTGACCAGGATCGTAAACTTGGATATTGCATATTTGTATAGCATTTGAATTAAATTAGACATTTTTCCGTTAGACTCAGTCGATTTCATTTACGAGGTAGATCATATAAAATGTGTATAAATAGCTATTTGATAAATAAATAATGTACTCCTGTTTTAGATCAGTCTGTTAGATTCCCTTTATGATCAGATTTTACGGTTGTGTTGTAGAAATCTGGTACAACGCGAGATGTGTGATTTGTTTAAAATATTCTTTGGAATTCCTAAAGTGCTCATTGACTTTTGGATTTCATTCATTAATTTGTATTTTCTAAACTCATTCAAGGACATTCTTGATTACATTATCAGGACATTTGTGACTATTAGAATTCATTTGGAACATGTTATATTTTTGGACTTGTTTATTTGAAATTTAACTGACAAAATTGTAAATGTCTTTTGAATTTTCATTTTGGATATTAAAACATAAATTGCTTGTTGATTTTCCCTAACCTGATGGCTAAACTGATCCCTAAATTCATTGAAGTCCATATCGGAACACCATGTCTGCCAAATATTTCGTAGCGTATGTGTATCAACGCCATTGAATACAGCAAGAATATTACAGTTATCGCGAATCACTTTTGGAATTTGAGTGTAGCGTTGAGTGACATATATCACGTCAGTGTTTTTATGCCTACCTCGGGAAAATATTCTAACAGGGTTCTTTTGATTATCTAACATTACATCATCGTACACTACAAGATTATTTATGTCTCCATCGAGGTCATCTACTGATGGTGCATCATTAATATCAGTAATAAAGTCGATTACACATTCACTTTTAATTTCTGATGCATTTTCATTATAATCTTTTAGCACTTCATAGCACCGTTGATCATCTACGGATGGGGCAACTAAATATAATTTATCCCACTTCATAAATCGCATTATCAAATTAAGCAGCAATTGTGTTTTACCCGATCCAGATGGTCCGATTATAATGGCACGGATAGAATTCGGAAGCGCTGCGTGGTGTTTTACTGGTTCTCTTTTTTTAGTCGCTGAAAAGTCAATTATATTCATAACTCTATATATAAATTATGGATCTATATTGTGTTAAATGTAAAAAGCGTACTGATACAACCGATCAGACAACCATTACAACTAAAAACAATAGACTAGCGCTTACTGGTAAGTGTGTAACATGTGGTACAAAAAAATTTCGATTTTTAAAAAAAAGCAACTCGGAGCTGATATTGCCGCAAAACTTGGAAAACTCCCCGGAACCCCATAGGCAAAATACCCCGGAGAATAACATCTTCCAGGATATAGCTACTGTGGTCCCGGAACGAGATTATATATCAGACTTGATGATCAAAATCAGCCCCGGCCTGGTGAGTATCCGATAAATGCTATTGATAAGGCATGTCATGCTCATGATGTTGCATATAAAAGCAATAATTTGCAACAAAGACATCTTGCGGATGTAAAATTAATTCATGCGTTAAATGCTATTCCAGATAAATCCTTCAAAGAAAAATTGGCTTCATGGTTGGTCAAATCAGCTATGAAAGGCAAGTTAGTGTTAGGTGCTGGTAATTAAAAACACCAGTGTTTTTATAGTATGGAATCTTTTTATTATTCTCCGAAAGGATACTGGAGGGGTAAAGCAGCAATCAGTAAACTCGCTAACGCTGCAAAAGTGAAAAAATCCACTGCAAAAGATTGGTTATCCAAACAAGCTATATGGCAAATTTATCTACCACCGCCTAAACAAATTAATTATTCTCATTTTGATGTTACCGTACCCAATGAAGTTCATCAGGCTGATTTATTGTTTTTACCACATGACCATGGTTACAAATACGCGCTAACTGTAGTTGATATTGCGAGTCGATTTAAACAAGCAGAACCATTGAAAACAAAGTCAGCTTCTGAAGTTGTTTCTGCATTTGAAAGGATTTATCGACGAGGTCCTCTAAGATGGCCAAATCTATTACAAGTTGATCCTGGCAAAGAGTTTCAAGGTGCTGTTCTATCAACAATGAAAACTCATAATGTTACAATACGACGGGGACATACTGCGTTACATCGTGATCAGGCAATTGTAGAACGATTTAATCGAACTCTTGCAGAACGGTTATTTGGATATCAATATGCAAAAGAATTCATCCAAGAAAAACGATCTCGTGAATGGGTCCAAAGGTTACCGAGTGTAGTTACAGCGTTAAATAACGAGATTACTCGAACTATTAATATGAAACCAAATATTGCAATAAAAAAAATATATTCCCGAACAACCACAGCGGGTTAGTACTCAGCCACTTCTCGGTGATGTTACTGTGAGATATTTATACGAACCAGGAGAGCTTGAAGGTGGTAAAAGAAGAGCTACTGATCCTATATGGAGTGTTACTACGCATAAAATTTCAACCATAACGCGATCAACTGGTAGACCTCCAATCTACAGATTGGATTCAACTGCACCTCAGCGTGGTTTTACACGCGAACAACTACAAGTCATTCCGCACGATACTCAATTACCGCCACATGGTCTTAACTAGCTCCGTTACGTCTATTACACTCAAGACAGGTCAACATCACATTGTTTCTGACATGACCAAGATTGTTATTTTTTCTGTCTACGGTGAATTGTCGAGGGTCTTTATCCGAATACTGCCAGTGCATTATACAATTGCAACTGGCGCAGTGATTATTCTGTTGTTCTTTTAATGCGATTATTACTTCAGCATCAATATCAAATTCTCGTTGTTTTTTTGTCCTGCTGTTTGTAACCAGAGAGTTTTTTTTATTAATGATGCTAATATCAGTGTTATCATCGTTTGCATTAAAATCATCATCGAAAACAATCCTTCGTAGTTGATTTATTCGTCGTACTCTAGACACTGCGAGATAGACTAAATTTGACCATTCAATGCGATTATCAACTATCCAAACAATTGTATCCGTGATGGTCAATCCTTGTGACGAGTGTATTGTTGTTACATAACCAAGTGTCCATTGTGATTTATCAGCGCATAATGCATCTTCTACAGTATTGATATCAACTAGCACAATATCATTTAACACTAGAATCTGGTTCTCCGTCTGGCCTGGAATTTCAACTTCAATATTCTGCTTCCGTGTATCCAATGGTCTATAACACAACGGCACTGGAAACGTTGGGAATTTTTTCTTGTGTAGCTCAAACAACTTTTTCTGAAGTGCGTCTCTGACTATCTTTCTACTTGCTACTACAAAATCATTTGGTCTCCATGTTTCCCAAAAATCATTCATAGGTGTTTCAGAAATTTTTTCACGCGCTACTTCACATTGAATTCTATCGGGTTGTAATCTAATTAGTTTTTTAAACTCACGTAACTGCTCATCGAGTGCTCTATAGTCTGCATCAATTTCTTCGTAATAATCAACAAATTCTTTTAACCAATTATGCGGACTTCTACCAACAAATGGTGGTGGTTGACCATGATCGCCGCACAATATAACTTTTGTATTATTTTGCAAAAACCAATCAAGAAACATTTTTAATACATCTTCTGAAACAGTACATGCTTCATCCCAAATAATAACCGCTGGAATAAATTTCTCACCCATTCGCTCAGGAGTCCAAGCATCGCCCTTGTATCGAAAAAAAACTATGATACGTGCAAGCTTCAACGGAAAATCCTTTGGATTTTTGGCGTTGTTTTATCTCTTTCGCTAGTCTATGAGTTGGTGTGAGTACAATCATGGACGTTCTCTCTTGATATAATTCTATCACACGTGTTGTCTTTCCAGATCCACCACAACCGTTTAAATAAACTGTTTTATATCTACAAATTGGATCTGATATCGGTGGTGCTTTAGACATAGAAAATCCTTCGGATTTTTCACTGATAGAATTATCGTTCTTCAGGTAACTGCTTGTAATCTCAAGGTCTGCTGATTCAGAATAATCGCATTGTATTTCACGTTTAATT